AACAAAAAAGGGGATCGTTCCTCCTCTACTCACAACTTCAACCTTCACCTAGAACTTCCTTGCTACTCCTTCGACTAGAAAACCATCCAACTCTTTCTGGAACCAATCACATCATCGATTTTGATATTATGCGACTTGGAACATGTGGGAAGATGTGTCTTGTTTACTTTTTCTGTGACTGACATGATCAACCAATCCATAATCTTGACCAATCATCTTGCAGAAAAGTCCAGTGTAACCAAAAATTCAGGGTCAAACTGAGATAGGCAAAATTCTCCAGAAAAACCAAAAAAAAGAAAACACGCTTAAGAAAAAAGAAGTGGGAAGCTAGAGAGATGATATAAAGGCTGGATGTTTCTTTTTCTTTATTTCTCTGGACTTTTGAACCTTCTGGAGGTCTTTGAAGGGTACTTTTTCTTGTCAGTTTTCTTCCTAGAAAGGTGTTCTTCCATAAATCTTTTGGGTATGTTTTTTGTATTTAGTCGCAAAAATATGCAAGAAGGTGTTTGAAAAAAAAAAAAAACAAGTGGTAGCTACTGCTCGCTCTGCTAGTTAGGGAACCAGTGTTGTTAAGAAAAGTGTATAGACTTTATTATCAAGAAGATATAAAATCTTTTGAGAATATCTGTTTTTGGGGTTGGTAAATGGATCAGCAGAAAGAGTTTTTTATTATTTTAAATATAATCTTTATAATTAATATATTTATTAAATAGAGGGATTTTAATGATGGTGGTTCCTCCCTAAATTCTACCAAAGAAATTTTAAATAATGAATTAGAAAATGCATTAAATTGAGAGCAATCGCAAGAAACTTTAGAACAAAAATAATCAGAATTAAATAGAATACAGCAAGACAATTCGATGATCCTTTCACAAGAAGAACAAGATATGTTATTTGGTGTTGGCGAAGATAATAGAAATTAAATTAGAAATAAAATGTAAATTTTTGTAACCATATGAAAACAAATTAATTTGCTTTTAATAAAAACAAATCGTTTTTTTTTTAATTATAAAAAACTAATTATATCATTATAATTTGATATTTTAAAATTTTTAATTGAAATCAATATACCCCACTATAAATCAATTTTTTAAAATTTTAAACCAAAATCAATAAACCCCAATACATATCGATTTTTATTTAAATCGATAATAATCAGCAGGAGGAATTATCATCGATATGTATTCAGGGTATTATTAATCGATACATATCACCCTATTTATTTTTCTGATATTAACGTTGTATATATCTTGTATGTAATAATCTATCTATGAATAAATACAGACTAGAGTGTTGTCTCACTATAGCAATTAAAAAAAAAGAAAAATTAATTTATTACTAATTATTTTATAGTTGAAAGATTTATTGAAAAATTTGAATGAACATTCAAAGTTGATTCAATTATTTCAACCAACTTGTAAATGAAACTATAGTAAATCTTATTGTCACAATATAATTCTATCAGAAAATATGTCAAGTTGGGCTTGTAAATCAGAAAATGAAGAGCAAGAAATAGAACAAAGTAAAAAAGATAAACAATTGATAAAAAAACATAAAAGACAAATGATATTTGATTATGAGAAATCACTTATATATTCAAAAGAAGGGATGTATCAAACTGAAGAAAGTATACAAATAGATAAAATTAGGGAGGCAATATTAAAGGATAAAATTAAAGAAATACAAGAAATACAAAAACTACAAAAAAGTATACTAAAGTAAAGAAAACTCAACATTATAAAATTTTCGAGAGTTACAAGGGCCATGTCAAAATCAACAAAAGAAAAAGATAAAAATTATAAGTGAAAAGATTCAGATAAAGAAATGGAGAAGGAATTTAGTAAATAATATACAAATAATTACCAAATAATTAATTAGTGAATAATTAGTAAATAATTAATGAATAACTAGCAAAAAATTATTTCATATTTTATATATTTTTAATAAATTTATCAAGTATTAATTAAATTTTGCCAAATATTATTATAAATGCAATTTTTTTATTGAAAATATATAATTTGATTTTACCAAAGTATATAATACTAAATAATTTTGTCAACTTTATAGTTAAATAATAAAAATTTATTCTGAATATTATAATTTTTATTACAGAATGCTATAACTTTATTACCAAATATTTTTTAACTAGAAATATTTTTTTGCCAAATGATTTTATTACCAAATTTTATATATTTTATACCAAATTATTGTGTTTTTTTTAAGTGTCAAATGACATAAATTGGACTAAACAACAAAACTTCAGTATAAACTTTTATTAATAAATTTGAATTTAATCAACTATACTTTGGCAGTCGAATAACCCAATTTGAACTAATGATATAAAAGTATTGCAATTAGATATATAGGTTTTATTTCAAGTTATAAGTAAAATTTGATATGCTTGCTTTTTAAAGTTGACTTAATATATGGCAAATAAAATTATTAAAGAGAAAAAGTAAATTATTAAAGATACTATAACTATTGTAAAAAGCTATTCAAATTATATATATATATATATATATATATTTTAAGTTTAACCAGTTGGGCCTTACCTAGCATACTTTATTATTTTATTCATATATGTAATTTATGTATTACAGGAACTACTATCTATAAATAATTCTACACATCACTAGACTGTATCGAACTTACTCTATATCAGCTTGTTGCTATTAGCGTTACCCAGAAAGGTTGTGCTGAGGCTAATATGCCAAAGCCCTATTAGTGTTATTATTATATCGTTATGTTCTATTTGGCACTATATGAATTTAAAGAGGAAGTTTAAATATGGAGAACTGGGTGTAGTACCTATTTTTGGTGAATAAAACCATTGCAAAGAGAATTTTTCTAGACCTGACCATTTGCAGATAGACATACCATTTAATTTTCACCTTCCTAGAGCTACCCAAGAACATTCAAGGAACTTATCTCATAGACTTATAGCTTATAGATTATTTCAGCTATCGGTACTTACTGCTATTTTGGCTGCTTTCTTGGGATAGGTAACTGTTGAAGTGATCTATTACTGGATTAGAATAAGACCTTTCTGGAAACTTGCAGAAAAAGACACCAGGTACCACAAGGAAATAATCACCAAGCTATCTTTTACTGAAAGTGGACACCTCATACACCTTACAACTTCTGGTGATTATCATAACACCAACCGGACGATCGTCGCACCACGATACCTTTTCTGGAAATTACAATCTTAATGCTCGCTGGATCAGTGTGTGAAATGGCTTCTCATGAGAAACAGTGTTTATACAGGTTATGGTGCCAGATACCATATTAATTCTATTCAACTGCTCTCACATGAAATTGAACTGGTATCTTGTGATTTGACTTGTGGAGTATTAACTACTACACTATAGATCCACAAGTGTATTCAAATTATATATATATATATTAGTTTTTAATAAAATTATAATAACTATCTACTATAATTATTATATCTACTATTTAACTATAATTAAAAAAAGATATATATTCAAAAAAATAAATAAATAAATCAAATAATTATAGTAAAAATAACTCAAATTTGTGAAATTTATGATTATCATAATATTAATTTATGTGATAATACAAATTTTCTTTTATATTACTTTTATTAAATTGACTTTCAAGTTATATAGAAGGTTTAATATATTTATTTTTCAAATTTTATATTTCTTTGTAATAAAATCTATATACTTTCTTTAATAATATTATTATCTAGAGACTTTAGTCTTATTTTACTTCTTTCTTTCTTTTTTAAAATAAACTTCTTGTATTTTAAAAGTAAATATAAAGAAAATCCATCTATAATATCAAAGTCAAGAATACTTTGTTAAAAAAAAAACTTGTAGAAACAATACTCTTCTCTTTTCCTTTAGAAATTCAAGACTTTAAAGAAGTTTACTATAGATTTTTAAAACTCTTTTTTTATCTTTTTAAGCTCTTCTTTTATCTTCTCAAACATATAAACTTTTTTTTAATTTTTCTAAAGAATCTTGCCTACTTTAATTTGACTCTGAATTTTTTATTACATCAAAATTCTTGAATAATAATTGGCTTAAAATTTGAATTGATTAATTATATATAGCAAGAAATATAAACAAGACACACAAATTTCATGTGTTCCATTTTATACAACTTATATCCAATAATGTAATTGATTATAGCAGAAATAGAAAGATGACAAGGTGTATTCTTTGGCAAAGAAGTGATTTGATGCTTTTTCCTTTACCTTTTGAACTAGTTTTGTTTTTTTTCAAAATTAAAGAAAGATTTTATTCCAATCCAGTAATAAGTCAATTCTATTGTTGATTATTTCAAAAATAATTAAAAAAAATGATATTGAAACTATTCACTAATTGAATAAAGTTATAAATTCTTGAATAATTGACTAGAAGAGAAATTGCCAATTAAAATATTAATCCAATAAAGATCTTTCAAATAACTTTGAAAAAATCAAAAATACTAAAATTAAGTTGTTTAATGAAATTAAAAAAAGATTTTGTTTGATATTTTTGTTTTATTTGTTAAAAAAAATTATAAATTTATAGCTATTTCGCGATATAAAAATATTAAGTTATTAAAAACAAATTTATTTTTATTTAAATTTATTACTTTGCAAACAAACCTATAAAATAACAAATGACAATCCTAAATCAAAAACTAATGAATCAAAATAAGATGATTGTAATATGTTTAAAACTATAGACATGTATAATAATGCTTTGATTCGAAACGGTAAAATTATGTAAAATATTCCTATTTAACACTACACTTATGGTTATAACCTAAAATTTTAGTTAACCTTACTTTTCGCTGAGATGGTCAGAAACTGTTGTTTGTTAAAAATTGAATGTACAAACGCGCCTATTGACAAACAATTCAATTAGCATAATTGTTACATCATAAAACATCTGAACAACATGTAATTCATACCGATATGATAAATACACGCGCAAAGAACGAAACAAGTGACATAGAATCCAATTCTGTACAGAGTCTCCAATTTAGCTAAAAGCGGATAGGGCTTGTTTTATATCACGTGGTAACGTGTCAGCATGGTAATACACGAAATGTAAATCACAGACCAATCCTTGAATAATACTTACCCACATCCCATACACATAAAACCCGATTTGAATCCAAACTGAATACGAAAATGCAAAACAGAGTATGTAAAAAATATGACTATGAGATTTCCTAAATTCTTTTGTGAAGAATAGAAAATCGATCCATAGACATATAGTAGGAATCAAATGGAATCCAACATCTACTAGTATTGGAAGTCTACGGATATATTGAAATGTAAAATAGAAGGTATAATGAGTAGGAATACCAAGAAAAACCATTTTAAAAAGGAATCAATTTGTACCTTGATTTTCCGGGAGCCAAAAGAAGTTTTTCATCATATGCTATCAGGCCCCAATACATAATAGAAATTAATCCTTCAAGCTATTGTTCGAGTTAAATGAATTTCAATTAAGAAGGTCTAATGAACTCAATGCATTTCATGAGAAATTTACTTTACCGGAGTAGTCACAACCATAAATCCAGTCTTCAGAATTGATATGACTAATTAAAAATAAGTTAGATTCACCGCCAAGCACTATCCAAATAAAGAATTAATCATTTAGAATTTTACCTCGAGACTTTGTGAACACGTCGTACAAGAGAGCAAAAACAAATGCCACGAATGAAAAAAGCAATCCAATCGTTGTTAAGTACTATCGAGATTGAAAGAAAAAGTTGAATAAGTAAAAGGAATGTATTTGATCCTTAAGAAAAGAAAGAAAACACTCACTGTAAATTCAAAAATCAAATCATGTGTTTTATTTATCGTAGGTAATATCACAAGTGAATAACCAAAAGAAAAAATTCCCGTTGTATGTAGCAAAATCTTTAAAGCTCGTGACATTTTTTTTATTTAAAGAGAATGTAAAAAGGTGTGGCGATTTAAAGGTATTTATGTTGGATTTCCTCAGAAATTGACTGAGAAAATTACATTTTCGAAATTTTGTGCCTTATATATATTGTTTTTTTTTATGACATTCATGGCGCAGCACAGATCACCAGGAGAAATGTTTTGTATCTCAAATTACCACAAATTAATAATTAAACCTGTTGATGTTGGATTGACGATTCGATTCCATTATACATTTAAGGTCATGCATCGAGTTCCTAAATCTTAATAACAAATACGTAATTATATGGGATTTTAAAAAAAAAGTAATTATATGAAAACAACAAATTAAGTATTTGCAAACAAATACGTGACTTTATTTAACTCTCTTATTTGTCAATACATTTACGATCTTTACAAAATTAAGAAATCAAGTATTTTTAATATTTTACAATAGCTATTCATTTATATGTAATATTACAATATATAACATTTTTTTAAATATGCAGTATATTAAATACGAAATTTTTTAGAAATAGTTTATGTTATATTATCAATAATAATTATTATCAAAAAATTTTTTATATATTAAGATTTATATGTTATTTATTATAAAAATTTTTTTTTTAATTTTTCAATTTATAACATAATTAATTTATATTGATTCTTTGAAAAAATAAATTAATTATAATTTTTTTTTTTTGATAAAAATATTTACAAAACAATTTATATTTCTTAATTAAACCAATTTAAATATTAATGTGGATTATTATTTTTGAAGATAATAAAAATAATATTTATTTTTTTTTAATCCTATTTTTAAAAAATATATACAGTGTGTAACAAAAATAATTGCACTGATATTTTTTATTATAATTCAATAAATAATAATTTAATGAAGATAAAACTTTAAAAATATATATTTTATAATTTAATTAATAAATTTATTTGAAAAATATTGATTTAAAGTTAAAAAAATTTTTTTTAAAAACATATTATAAAATTATATACATAAATTTATAAATAGAGATTAAAATTTTACTATGGAAAAATTTTTAAAAAAATTAAATATAAAAATAATTATAAATTATAACTTATTTCAAATTATCATATTATCTTTCAAAATAACTCTGAATAAGCATACATAACTGCTTGGCATTATTTGATTAATATACTAGTTTTAAAATATCTTTTTTAATAGAAATTAAATAATTACTGTAAGCAGGTTAACATTAAACTCACTGCAATTTGTATATAAGAGATATTGTTTCTTTCTGAATGTATACTTTGTAATATATGAATAAATAATGAAATGGTATTTACCTACTTAAAAAAATTATAAAAGACTTATTATTATATTTAATAAATGTTATTAAAATTAATTTATTTTTTTATTATATAAAATTGATTTTAAAAAATCTTTAAAATCTTTAAAAACTATATATTTAATATAAAATTTAATTATATTTAAAATAAGTTAATTATTAAATAATTTTTTATACTTAATAAAATAATAATAATTATTATATTATTATTATTATGACTTTTATTTACAAATCTATATATTGAAATAATTTTAATAATTTTAATAATTTCTATTTTATAATGTAATTAAAATCAAACATTTTTTTAAAAAAAAATTTTTAAATTAAATTTTAAGAAAGTTTTAATAATATATTTTAAAAACTTTATTAAATAAACTTGTTTTTATTAAAAAAAATCAGGTATTAATAGAAATAGATTTTATCAAAGTGAATTACTAAAAAACAATAATAGTTTTTTTAAGAATAAACATATAAAGATTTACTAATATATAGAAGTTATATCTTGCTTAGCATTTGTGCCTCTAAATTTAACAATATAAACCAACTAAGAACCTATAAAGTATCTACAGAAAGAATCTGAAATTGTACTTTACTTAATCACAAGCTCTCAAATTTAATAGCCTAAGCCAACTATAGGAATTATTCTTGAAGAATTTACTAGGAAATATACAGTTGAGAACAAAAAAAAACATATTTTTTTTCAATTAATATTTTCAATTATAATTTAATAAATAATTATTTAAATTTTATGAAATTTTACAAAAATATTCTTTAAAATATAAGAAAAAAAAATATAAATTTTATTGAAAAATATATATTCATTTAATTTTTATTTTATTTTAAATTTAGAGAAGTAAAGTTTATTTGTAAGTTAAAAATTATTTTAAAAATTATTATTTAAAAAAATTATTATAAAAAATTTTAATAAGTTATTTT